GACTGCAAATATGCTTCATTTTATGTGTTAAGCTGCGCCTGCTGGTTCCATTCCAGTAACGGGTCTAGTAGCAAAGGTCCGTGGTAAAATCTTCAATGATGATCGTCCCTGAGGAGGTACCGTACCGGCCGGTACGGTATGAGTTTCTATTTTTTCTTCCTCCTTTCGTGCGTGCGAGGAGTTTTCGACGCGTTTCGCTCCCCTCATAAATTATGACCCCTGATTCAACGAACAGTTGCATCGATTGACCACCTCGAGTAAATTTGACACCATCGCTCATAAAACCGTTGAAAATCAAAAGAAAATGCGCGGTCGCTCCCCAAACTCACGACCACTACTCATCCGAGGGAAACACGACCAATCAAACCTCCGTTTGCGTACGGTATAAGATCCGTTCGGGAAAACTCTCAACGCATTTCTACTGAATTGGGATACGGTAGCGCGCCAAAACGTTCTGTTGGTATCTTTTTTTACGTCTCTTGTGGATGCTGTCGTAGGGCCTATCGTAGAATCGTAGAAGTACATGTAGCTAGCTTATCGTTTTTCTATTCTCTTTTCTCTTTTTGAGCCAGCGGCAATACGTTATGCTTCGGCCATTGTTAGAACGTCTATTTCGAGCTATCTCAACCAATAGAACGAAGTCGGTGACCCCGAAATCGACACCGGATGCCTCCAGAGATGAAACGATGTTGTCCGCCAATCAAAGCTCGATGACAGAACAATCTGTTTGCGGCAATACCAAGAGCTACAACGGCTTGGGCAACAGCCACCGCCAATTGCCCTGGCACCAACAAGTTGACAATGTGAGGAATGTGAGTGATATTCGAGATGTCGACAAACGACAAGATCTCGATTCCAGGACACATCTTTCGTCTGCGACCACATTCAACAACGGCGATCGTTGCAGCAGGATTGCGCGAACCGACAGGGAACCACCACCACAAGCTCCTTTGGAAGATTTTTCAAACGGCAACCCTCGGCAACAACGAAGGTCCAGGTCGAGATCCAAGTCGACACGATCGAGATCCAAGTCAGGACGAACAAGATCCAAATCGAGATCGAAGCCATCACGATCGAGATCCAAATCGAAACCAAAGCAAAAGGAGAAAACAAAGCGATGGTTAGGAAGAACGGGAAAAAAGAAAGAATCAGCGAAGCCTGCTTTTTCCGCAGCCRCAGCGTCGCCGGCATCACCTTCTTCGTTGATCTCTTCATCACCGTCAAACCCATTGCAGAAGAACAAAAATTATTGCGATCGCATCGAAATGGTGGCGGTGAAGAACGAGGCCATCGCCAAGGAGGGAATGGTGAATCAGCAAGAAACACAAAATATTTTTGCAGCTAATTGTGACATGAATGCGACGAAACTGTTGCCCGTGTGTGGCAACCTGGAGCAAGTGGGTGTTGAATCTTTTGTCAATATTTTAGCGCATCCTAATTGTGGTGCAAAACTTGGGCGCCGAAAAAAAGAGAAGACCATGAGCGTGATACTGAATCACATTGGAACTTCACTGCGCGAATCACAATCAGAGTCGACACCAGAGATTGTAATACCAAGGTCAGGGAAGAAGGCGAAGGATTTGGAAAGATTTGACAAGATTGAACAAGTCGATGAGTAAGTAAGGTCATTGTCTTGAAATCTTCGCTACTACTGTACATTAAAAATATTTCATTGCGCACTTGTATTTCATTGATATTTGCCAATGATTTTTTTTGTGTTATTTTGTCCTAACATATCATAGTAATGACATCGGAATCAAGGCATCAAAAAGTAGATCTTTTTCACCAAAAAAGCATCGTAGTGCATGGAGACGAAAGAGGAAAGGGAAGGAAGAGAAAAAGAAGGAAAGCGACCGAACAACTAACGAAGCGAACAAAGAAGAACAGAGACAGTTCGGTAGCAACGATAATAATAAATTGCAAAAGAAATACACGTTTGTCCCATCTGAAAGCTTGAAGTACCTCTTTGCAATCAACACTGATGACGAGCAAAATTCTGACGACGACTATTCGACATCCAGCAGCGAAACGGATTCTGAGGATGGATTTCTTGAGAAGATGGTGGCGTCGTGGCAAAATACGAGCCGCATCGTTCCGACATTCGGCGTTGTAGGTGCCCTCGGCTTTGGTAAGAATGCTAGAAATTGCAGTCCTGATATTAGGGATTTGCGAATCGTCGACAGCGAAGTCTTGAGTTCTTTCGATGAGGTCGGTGACTATATTCATTCTAAGCCATCGCAAAGATATCGGAATCTTGAAGAGACTAGGATGATCAGAGAATTGTGAATCTTCAAATTCAAAATGAATTCATACACAAGAATCTATGATAGTGCTTTGAGGAGAAGACGAACGTCCCATCACCGGCAAACCAATCGTGTTTTGAGGGAGATAAGGTTCAATTTTATCATCGAGGAAAGCAGCAATAATCTACTATTCTCCCTCGGTCGGCCATCAGTTTTGGAGATGTCTTCATTGATTGTTTGCTAAAATATGAGCTACTGTTCATTACGTGAAGGTTTAACGAGATAAAAGTGCTATGATATGTGCCATTGCATCAGATGTTGCCACTGGGTGTACATTCTACTTTCGGTACTAGCATATTACTTGCTGAGAATAGTGATTGTTCCATCACTTCGTACGGTTTCACTTTTCGAATTAACATACCAGTAAGTAGACAAACTACTAGTTGATTACAAGATTGTGATGCATTTGAAAATGAATACTGTGAATCTATTCTATTTGCTATTTATGCGCACGTATTCAAAGCGTCTTTCTTCTAATCAGTGCATCTTTTACAAGACGCCCGACAGTATTCCCAAAGGGGCTTGCCTTCGAAGGTTTTATTACACCTATTTTTCTTCCTCACCCATTTGCAATTCCTCTTCTTGCGTCTACCTTTGTTCTTAACTTTGAATCTTCCTTTCCTATCTTCGCAGTCGAGTCCAACCTCGACGAGATCTGGTGTAGGGCTCGAAGTTGGTGGAAAAGTTGGAGACAAAGTTGGATCACGAGTAGGACTTTTCGTCGGAGTAGCAGTGGGAGTCTTGGTAGGATTCATACTTGGTGGTCTAGTGGGGCTTCTTGTACTAGGAGCTTGGGTCACTTTGAATGATGGCGCTAGAGTAGGAGATACCGTTGGGGATTCGGTAGCAGATAATGTTGGAGATCCAGTAGGTGGTTCGGTAGAATATTTTGTTGGAGATCCAGTAGGTGGTTCGGTAGGATATTTTGTTGGAGATCCAGT